CTATTTGGGATGAAAAATACTAGTTATTACCTGATAGTCTTTCATAACAAAAAGAAAATTTATCCAGTGATAAACATCCTCGTCATGGGGATTATCACTAATGAAAATCTTCTGAGAACGACCACACGCAACACTCACAACATCTAAAACAACAATTACTTTTCACATGAAATCCCTGGAGAATTTGATACTTTCAGTTTGAGCTTTTAGTCCCTGTCCCTAGATTGGAATTTACCAACAACCAACCCAGTTTGACTAATTCAGGTCCCTAATTAATGGTACACATGCAAAAACAAGCAGTCGACAAGATGTATTCTCACTGCTTGTCAACAACTTGTTGACAACTTGAAACCTTGTCAAAATTATCAGACTTGTGGCAAGGTTGTTCTGACAAGTCCGTTACATGCTTGATATAACAAGATTGTTACAACCTTGTGTTGACAACCTTGTAACATCCTTGTTATATCATGGCTGTAACAAACTTGTTAGCACAGTCTTGTAACAAGTCTGATGCCATCAAGCTTGTTACAAGTTGCTAACAGCTTGTTCCAAACTTGTTACAACAAACTGGGAACAAGCAGTGCGAACACAACTTGTTGACAGCTTGTGAACAGACTTGTTTGCAGACTTGTTACAAGCTGTGCGTTTTTACGTGTGTAGTGGAAGTCAAATCTGAAGCCCTCTATTACCTGTCTTGAGACCAGACGTTCTACCAAACAACACTATATTGCCCTCTCCTGGTTCCAAGGACTCGCCACTGACTGCACGAGCTACTTGACGAAATATACGCAACGTTTTTGAACTGAACTTTTCACTACTCACTGTAAATGTACTAGAAAAGAAAGCGTTTCACGTTGTTTATCTACTATGAAAGGTATTGAAAGTTACATTACAAAAATAACAGAATTATTCAATGGGAAAAGTTTATAGAAACCTTATAAAATACCTTGTGTTGTCCATTTGTTGACATGTTTGCGAACTCTCGTTTCCAGGCTCTTTTTCTGCTCTCACCTTACAGAGACAGACAGACAGACAGACAGACAGACAGACAGACAGACAGACAGACAGACAGACAGACAGACAGACAGACAGACAGACAGACAGACAGACAGACAGGGCATGTAGTAAAACACTGACTACCGGAACACCACCGGAACCCCACCGGAACACCACCTAACCCTAACCCCAACCCCTAACCCCAAACAAAATGGTGGTGTTCCGGTAGTCAGTGTTTTACTACATGCCGACAGACAGACAGACAGACAGACAGACAGACAGACAGACAGACAGACAGACAAGTAGGGGCTTGCGACCACTTGGTTTTACTATGAGTTGGTTTAGTTTAAATTAGGTTTCCTGTTCTAATACAGTCTTGTACGTCAGAGCCACCAACTAATACTGGAGCAATAAGTAATGACCCTTAACCGTTATTAACCTCTTAGCTGGACAGAATAGTTAGAACGGATAGATCTGTCCAGTAGAAATTAGGTCGGTTTGGTTTACGTTTCCTCCTGTAGCTAACACTAGAGAACTCGATTTTTTTGAAGAACATTATTTCACTGGACCAAATAGAGACCAGAGCTGGACCTCTATGTGTTTCTATCGGGAACAGTCAGAGCTAAGCTATAAAGTTACCACAAATTGCACAATACCGTAAATATCTCAAAAAATGAATGTAACACCCACAAAAACACACACACAAGTGAATAAAACAAAAGGAACGGTGCCCCCATTGCTTTATTAAAACATCAATCCTGCAGCCTTCAACTAAAATACAACAACTTACATAAAATTAATTTGTGGTCAATTGTCTTGACTTTGAGCATATCTATGACTTTGAGCTAACTAAAAGCATCTAAGTGCATTAATATAAAGGAATAAAATATTTCAGACATAGTGTAAACAGAGTGACAGGTAAAAGATGTAAATGACTGAAGTCATTTTTCTGTGTATACTGTAGGAACTTCAAACGAGCTATCATACAGCTATTATAATTATTTTACTTGTGTAAAAACAAGACGAACTGTCAGCTCCCATCCTCGCTTGACCATGGCCTTAAGACTCAGCTGACTGTTCGTCTCGACAGATGAATGAAAAATTTTTCAGTTTCACATCTTTCACCAAAAGCTATATTACATCGTGAGTGCACTGTGTATTAACATAACTCATAAGTACATTTCTTTTTTATAATATTGTTTTATATATATTTATATATGTGACGTAATAATTTTATATAATCTAGATTATATATATCCGCTATATATATATGTATTTAACGAGGAGGCACCCATACCCTCGATACTTTGTGCCCTCTACGATATGTGCACCCGGGGTTGGTGAAAGGTTGTTTGCATAGAGTGCATTGCATGCTGGGATACATATATGTTTTACAACCCCGTGTTGTTTGTATTATTGGCTAAAATGAAGTAACGGTGTAACAAAATGCTAGGACTGGACAGAGTTTTGATCAAGTCCAAGGACTGAATGAAGTTTTGATCAAGTCCTAGAACTGGATGAAGTTTTGATCAAGTCCTAGGACTGGATGAAGTTTTGATCAAGTCCTAGAACTGGATGAAGTATTGATCAAATCCTAGGACTGGATGAAGTTTTGATCAAGTCCTAGGACTGGATGAAGTATTGATCAAATCCTAGGACTGGATGAAGTTTTGATCAAGTCCTAGGACTGGATGAAGTTTTGATCAAGTCCTAGGACTGGATGAAGTTTGATCAAGTCCTAGGACTGGATGAAGTTTTGATCAAGTGCTAGGACTGGATGAAGTTTGATCAAGTCCTAGGACTGGAT